GATCATTAAGATCGAATGTCTCTTCCAAGGAATATTTTCTTTACGATGTCATAATTCACCAGTAAGTTGATTAATAATTTACGGAATGGTTTTATCAGATAATCTGACATTGCGCTGAGCAATATCGCTCGAAAAAAAAAAACAAATATTTACGTTGTATTCATGAACAGGCGAACTTTTCAAAATAAAAAAATGATATTTAAAAATATACAAGTTTTAAAAAAATATGCTGTACCTGCTGGCAGTCAGTTCTGCATAATTTCTTTTTTCCTCTATGATCTATCAGACTACTAGAGTCTAAAGAAATATTGTGTAAACGGTTTTGTTATGTTTTTTTTTATAACAGTTATTGCAATGTCTCTCGGAAGGAATATTCGACTTTTAAGGGTTAACTTTTTAGTTTATGGAGAATAACTTTGGCACAACATATATAAATCTGATTACAAACATCACTTTGACACAATCTATGTTAAACAATTTATGAATAAATAAAAGTAAAAATTGAAACGACATTCTATTGGTTTAAGTAACTATACAGAATTTACAAACATTTTTGAATCTACTATGTCAATGTAGCTTATCTTATCTTAATCAAACGTATATTGATGTTTTGTAAAAGAATGTTATTCTTAATGCTTCGAAGTAGTCAGTAAAAGTTTGAGTACCATAAAAAAGATAAAAACAAAATGAGCAGTAACTGCACAAGTAAGTAAATTTATTTTCATATAATACTAATATTTGCTTCTAAAGATCCTCAACATGTCCCATTAGTTGGCAACACCTTATGTGTTGCACGAACAGCATTAACTGGTATATTTCTAGCATGTGTTATTGTATCTGGCGTTTGTTTATTGTTACTTATTGTAAGCAATTTGTAAAATATTTTTAATCTTGTTAAAATATTATTTCTTTGTAATTAGGGTTCACTAATATTCTTCTATAAGCGACGTATATCTTCATCTCATGGAAAATATTATCATAACGATGAATCAACTCGATCAGACATTAGTAATAATGATAAATCAAACCTATCAGACATTAGTTATACTGATGATGATGGTGTTAGATCAAATCTATCTACTCCTAGCACAGATAGAAGAATATCACGTGTCCTTAAACAAAGTGAGTAATTTGCTTCTTCATTATTTTCACTTGTTTAAAAATCTTCAAAACAATTGAAAAGTTTTTTCAGTAACATAAAAGGAACTATTTAAAACCGTGTCTCCATCGAAAACTGCTGTCGTACTATGTACATGTAAACAGCTTAAAATTTTTAGAATATGTTGGAGTTATATAATGAAAATGTTACATGGTAAAATTTTCAGCTCTATATCATCATGTTTCGAAGAAATATTTATCCAACGAAGATCAAAAAATAGTTCATTTGGAAATTAGAAATTCTCTGTCGATCTTTATTCTATATATTTAATTTTCTTAAATGCAACATACAGAATGAGAACCTATAGAAAATTTTGAATTGCACGATCGAAACAGTCTAAACAGAGACAAAAAGAAAAAAAAAATTTAACAGAAATTTTAGCAAGAGAGGAAGTTCAGGTTGAAACTCCCAGCACCTTTTGGTACTGAAGGTGCTAATACATATTTAGAATTCGAGTGGAAATTAAGATGATAGTTATGAGTGAGAATCATCCTGTTTCAATTCGATTTTTTCGATCAAGACAAGTCTATTTTTCGAAAATGACGTTTTTTTTTTTTTATAAAACTTGACTAAAGTTTTCTAGAATCCAAAAATTCGAATCTCTAATCGATTTTTTCGATCAGTGTAAGCCTATTTTCCGGGGTAGATTCACGCTTTATAACATTCATTTATTTGTTTGAAATAGACTTTCCCTGATCAAAAAAATCGATTACAAATTCGGATTCCTCGATTCCAGACGCACTTAGTCATGTTTTCTATAAAAAAAATTCATTATTTTCGAAAAATAGCCTTGTATTGATTGAAAAATCGAATTGAAATAGTCTGAATCTCACTCATAGCTATCACCTTAATTTCCAGTATAATTTCAAATATGTATAACCAGCAGAGTATTTTCAGAAAACGATTTGATGCTCAGATGTTGCACTTATCTACTTGATTTTGAGGCACTATTTTGATAAATTTAATGGGCATAATCATTAACTGACATGAATACAATGAGTAGCGAAATTATTCAAGAAAGTTTATTTTCAATTTTTTTCCGCTGTCGTAAGCGTTAGACAGAATTCAAATAGTGATTCGAATAGAGAAAATAGTTTCCAAGAAAAATATAAAGAAATAAAACTTATTATCAGATTTTCGCAAGGATAGAAATCTCAGAAAATCAAAACCCTGATTTTTCAACACTTTGAGTGCGTAAATATAATTTTGTTTAAACCACATAGAACGATAGAGTAAACCATCCTCTACAAAATGAGATATCTCTCAATTCTCTGTGAAGTCTTTTGGTTGAGAGACAGTAGTTTGATTGAAGATCAAAAAATGGTTGTTTTTTTATAAGAAATTGGAAGAAATGGACTTTGATGACTTCCGTAAGATTGCTGTATCTTAGCTAAAAACGATCACAGAGAGCTCGGAGAAGTCTCATTTTGTAGAAAATTATTCACTCTATCGTTCTATGTAGTGTAAACAAAATTATATTAATCCTTTGTAGGTGCAGAAAAATCTAGCGTTTTGGCTTTTCGAGAATCTGTTCTTGCGAAAATCTAATAATAATTTTCATTTCCTTATATTTCTTTTACAAATAATTTGTCTCTATCCGAATTCTTTTTTTAATATTTAAGACAGCGAAAAAAAAATTATCATAATCCTTATTGAATACTTTTAGTATCCATTGTGTTTTTGAATTATGTATAAATAAATTTTTGTTCTAGCCTGTTGACTTTCATTAAATAAGTAGTTTTATTCTCCACGACATGAACATACCCTATGTGATGACTACCAGTTATATATCAAGTGGTGTAATATGTACTATATCGACAGCTTTTTTTGAAAGTATTTTATCGTGGTATTTTGTATGAAAATAGATGAATCTGTTAAAATTAACAGAATTGAGTCGTTTTCGAAGCATTCTTGGAATGTTAATGCATCTAAGCTATCTGTACTAGCCGCAGAGCTCAAATAGGTCCTAGTTATGAAATAAACTTTTTATAATGGATGCTACTGCAAAAATTTTTATTAGTAGAATACATTCTGAAACTATTTTTCCTCTCGATTAATTTAAATTCGTTCTAATAAATAATTCGAATTTGGATAGAAAGCACTCTCTACAATAGTCTGTAGCTGTAACCGAAAGTCATAAGCGCTATCATCCGTAGTCACGAACAAACATGAGATATTCGTGTAGGCTTGCTTGAAATTTGCATCGTTATGAAAACTAAAAAAAGTAATTATGATTTATTCATAGTCATCAGAAAGAATGAAAGAAAGGATTAAAATAATTTAACACATAGCAGATTGTTATGATATGTGTTTTACTTTTTCTTTTATTTTCACATCATCGTTGAATGAGTCTTATTTGTTTTTACAAACTACGGTGACATTTATCAAAATGCTTCTTTTCAATGTAAACAAATTGAAAATCTCGTATTTTTTTTTCTTAAAAAAAAAAAGCTTACTTTTTTTAAAGCGAAAAATGAATTCCTAAGAAGAAAACATTCAGTAATACAAATCATATATTTTTTTATAAAAATATTTTTTCATAGTTATTGATAAGAATCCTTCGAAAGATTCCATTCATGCATCTCTTCATCATAATCTTACAATTCAAAAATCACAAACATCATTATCTTCATTATCTTCACCATCATCTCAATCCTATATAGGTTTACATCCTCTATCAGAGTCATCAATAAGAATACAACAACAAACAACGAACATCATTTCAACACAATATAATCGTAATAAATGGACAACACATGAATCGCATGAATCAATTTCAACCATTCCAGATCAAACAGACGACACTAATGAATATAAAAATATAATTTCGTCTAAGTTTTGAATCGAAATCATTATTCTCAAATTATTTTCTAATATTGTTCTTAAATTCACAAATAAGAAAAAAATCTTGTATTAGAACCAAATATATTCTTTTCAGTAACAGGCGGTTCGTCATTCTGATTATTAAAAAATATTTCCAGATAGACATAGAAAAAAAAAAAAAATTATACATCCGTTGCAAGTTTACTTCGACCAAGTTTAGTCGTTACTTGATAAAATGCATTATGAAATGGTTGTTTTTGATCACGAGAATCACTCGAATTTTGCATACTTTCTCGTTTGGTTAATAATCGATTAGTTTTTGTTGATCTTAATTGATTTTTATCAGATATTACTTCTAATGTAAAACCTTCTGTATCAGCAAAACGAACACGTTTTTTTTCTGTTATACCATCACTTGAGGGACTGCGTATTGTTGAACGTGTCCATGAATCACGTTGTTGACTATGATTATCATTGGTTTCATCAACATATTCCGATTGTCGATTAATATTATTTTTATCTGTATTCTGTTGTTGAAATATCATTGATAATGTAGATGAATTCTCATCAGAAAACGAACCATTTGTTGTATCTCGATAATAATATTCATTTTTACTATTATTTGTTATTGATGAAGTTGGTAAAGATGATGAAATAGTACCAGACAGTCGATTTGATGAACCAAGTATAGTATAAACATTATCAAAACCTTGCATACTTGTTTCAAATAATGTACCAGTTGCTGGATTAGATAATTGTAATGATTTTGACGAACGATTTAAACTTGGATGTTTTATACGTGCTAAATAACTTGTTAATGTTGAAGTATTTGTTTGAGTATATGTTTGATCAGTTGGTGTTATGGAAAATGTTGTTCTAGGAGACATTCCATAATTAGAAACTGTTCTTGAAATTGTTCGATGTGATGAAATATGTGATTGTTGTTTTGGTTTTTGTTGTTGAACTAATGATTGTATTTGTGTGCTTTCATCTGACAATGAACGTTTGATTGTATTATCGGTTTTAGATAATAATGGAGTCCTTCGATTATCAAGTACTTTATCAGATGAATATGAACGAATAGTAGTCGATGGTTTTGTTTTCGAAGTAGTTGATGTAATCGATGATAAATCATCTTGACCATCATAATGTTTTAATGTTGAACGAGATAATCTATTTAATTCACGTTGATTATCTGTATTTAGTAATGAATTAACAGGTAATTGATGTGTTTTCGCAACACCATATTTATAATCATACAAATTTGAATTATTTCGTTGAATAGGATTATATGAAAATGTTGAAGGTGATCGAATAGATGTTTGATATGATTTTGAAACAGGTAATTGTTGAGATTTTAATATAGCTGTACGACGCTGTTTTCGTTCTTCGGAACGTATACGTTCATATTCTTCAGTGGATACGTAAAATTTACGTCCTTGTCGATAAATAGGAACAGTATTTGATGTCATAGGAAAATTTCTTTAATGAATCTTTGAAAAATAAACAATCAAAATTTTTTTTTTTTAAGAAAAAAAAACTACAAAAGTCGATAATAAACTTACATAATACTTTTGCAGTTGTCTGAACAGCTGCTGATAGTTATCGTTAATGATATTATAAATCCATTTTTATTTAAAACATCTAGATAATTAAACATATGGCATTATATACTCAAGTATTTGAGTGTTCATTTTTTCTTTTTGAAATTTTTTTTCTTCGGATTTCCATTAACGAGTTTTTTTTTTCTTCGTCATTTAATACTTATGATTAATCGATTTTCCGTATATACAACAAGTAAGAAGCAAACAAAAATTGTACGTAGTATTATTGTTATAGTCAAATCATTTTATGTCTTCAACGCTCCAAAAACAAAAAAAAAGACGACAGAAAAAGAAGACAAAAACATGACCGAGAAAGAAAAGAAGTCGATTTGGTGTTTGTTGCTCTTTTATTTTGTTTTTTGAATGTTATTGACATACTTAATTCATACTGCTTATAACCCATTAGCAGGTGATACTTGAATCGATTTTTTTTTTTTACTCCGCATCTCTCATTTTTCTTTCTATCAATATATAACATGTTTGTCTCACTAATGCCTAATTTATAGATGTGTAAAATAGTATAACTGATAGAATGAAAAAAAAAAACCGAGAACACTGACTCTTACCATCAGCTAGTACAACAATAGGTCCAATGTTATCTTTTAAAATTGCATCATTGTTATTTATTTTTGTATAAGGACATATGTATACGATCGCACGTTCATTCCAAAATTGTCTCTTTTGATTTTTTTTTTTCGTATTCTGTTCTTCTTTTTTCTTCTCTCCACCAATATTGTATGTTTAGCTGTAAAAAATAGTTTGTATATTTATAATTGTGATACACTCACATGTTTGCACTGAAGAGGAGGTAAAGGATCAAGAGGGAGTTCCTTTTTTTTTCTCTCTTCTTTTTTTTTCCTTTCCCCTTTCTTTTCTTACTAAGAGTACGATAAATAAAATTATGCAGTCTATGCATGTTTTGTCCTTGAAAGTTACATTATGTTATAAACAAGGTTACATGTGCTCTATGTCTCTTCATGTATTTCGTAATCAATTATAAATCGAACAATACATGTTGATATTTGTTCAAGTAATTAGACAAATTATTTTTATTTTATTCTATTCATTGAAATATTTTATTTAAAAAAAAAACATAAAATCTTTGTCTATAAAAACTTAACAATATTATACATATCAGAGTTTTATTTCAGGATAATAGTGACATAACGGATTTTGAGGAGATGGATGACACCCATCTTGATAATACACATATTCAATGTTAGGATTTGTTAAAAATGGTTTTACTTGTGCTTTACATAAATCTTCTTCTATACCACTAGCACAGATATATTCACGTCGATGCATATATCCAAAATATCTAAGACGTACAATATGATCTTGTGAAAGTAATTGAGTTAGAACTAATGTATGAATTGGTGCATCACCCCATCGATAACGATAAATGCCACCATTAAGATCAACTCTATGAAGCCAAGTTCTTATCAATGAATGATCACGAAAAAGAGAAACATTAGCAATAGCAAAATTTGTAAAAACAATAGCAAATGAATAGCCACCGAACCAATTAGTTTGTGTTTGACGAAAACCTTTTGAAGGTTTCAAACAATGATCATTGAGAAACTCATGAAAAAGTGACCATAATCCAGTAGCATAATGTTCACCTTCTTCATTAGCCATTATAAAAGCATACTGAATATGTCGCTTTTGCATAATTTCAAATGGATCTTCTATAGGTTTTGGTCCAAATATATAAGAATGTGCATCAAGTCGCCAATAGTATGTGAATAAGGTTAATAATGGATGATTTGGAAGCATTAGAGTAAAAAAACGACACATATCAAAATACTTAGGTGGCCATCCACGATGAACAGATTGAGGTCGATTCGAATTATTAGAAAATTGGATATGTTCAAAACCTAATGGAGTACGATCACCTAATATTTTAGCTAAAGATTTTTGAATATCATCAGAACTAAAATCACCTTCATGAAAAATGACAACAGGTCGAGGATTATTTGATAGTAAACGAGATAATTGAGTAAGTGATGTTTTAAGTGAATCAATTTCATTAATGGTAGTCAAATAGACAATAACACCAAGATATGATGTTGGAGCAACATTTAACCAATTGACATACCATTCAGCATGATTATTTTCTTCTTTATATGATATTTTCCAATGATACCATTCATCAGTGATACTATTTTGATATTTCCATTCATCTTGACGATTAATAATTTCATTATCAGAGTTTCTAGACAAACATATCGATGATTGTGTACGTTTAAAAACAAATGTAGTAGTAATCAAGCTGCATCCAGTGATAAACCATGAAAAGATGTATAAAAAATGACATCGTTTTGTGTGGTTGCGTTGTATACGTGTCATTAGTTTACTGTATATTCTCTATTGATAATCTATTGTCTTATAAAATGAATCGAAAAATTAATTATCCATTTAAGCTTTCGTTCTTTTATCATTTTTTTACAATCGTAAAATAAAGCAAACGACAGATCTTAACAGAAATAATCTTGATGTACAAACGTTGTCTTATGATTTGCTTGAGTAATTTTTTTTTCTCAGGATAAAATAAAAAACAGGTTAAATGAATATTTTTTGACTTCTCGTATAAATATTAAATATAGAACACAATCGTTCGTCCGTGAAAATACGTCCTTGATATGATAGGAGAGAAAAAAATTAACTTGATAGGTTATCACTTTTCATATGAAACGTACACGAAAAGAAATGTAATATTATTTCTGTTTTTTTTTCGAAAAATATGATTGAATCATTATCATAGTTTTGTTGACTTGATACTATAAGAATTTCAATTACAGATATTCTGTTTTAATTCGAATGTTTTATAAAGTTTGAAAATAGAATAACTATTAATTATCTACATTTCGTATTGTGTGAAAATTGTATAACAGTAATGTATAAGAATGAGTTAAATCATACATTGGAATAGTTGCCATTTGATGTACATATATTAAGCAGCATTTATCATATTGAGGTTATTTCTCTTTACAACGAAAATCTCATTGTCATGTAGAATCGCATCATTTTTTTTTGTAAGCATCGATCTTAACTCTTGGTTCTATGAAGAATCCATTGTAACTTCTTATCAGTTCAGTATAAACTAAATTTATATTAAGTTTAAGGTAAAAATTATGGAAAACAGATGATCTATCGACTTTTTCGCTTTTCTCAAACGATTTCAGCTTCTAAAATTTAATTATGAATTCCTTTTCAAATAATAGTTTTATTGTTTGTTCAATAATGACTTCCATATTATTCAGATTAAGAGATACTTCATGTTAGTGAATCTCTCTGTATTAACTATTCATCATTATTTCTTTCAGTTTCAAATCATAATGGAGACTCATTTTCACTGATTGATATGTAGTAATTCATATACTCAGTCAAACAGAATAAATAACAGACAACATATAACGAATGACCGTGTTTTGTATTTCATATTGTTATCATCCGATAAATTTTACTTTAAAAAAATACACCAAAGAGATACAGCGTGAAAAGTTTATTCAATATATGCATATTTTATTTTCGAAATGAATGAAATTCTATTCGATCAATTTTCGACACTGCGAATATGATGATTTTTTTTTGTTAAATGACCCATTCACTCTTTTATGTCATCGATTGAAGAAAATTCAATTCACTGACAAAGAAATACTTTTCATTAGAACGCGTTTATGTAGTGAGTCGATAGGAAGTAGATGAACAGTGGAGCACAAAGCAGAAGACTAAATATTCAAATAAGATTATGGTATGGTTAGGTGCTTCTAAAAGTGGACTTGCTTTCACAATTATATTTAAACTCGATAGAACATTCTCACATGAAAAATTATATTGAAATTGTACTTCTTTATGAACAATCTCTGAATGAAAACGGTCGTTGGGTGATAGCTTCATCTATCAACAAAAAGAATGACACACAGCATACACAATCACAGATGACCATCAAACAATTCTGACTTCAACGTTTTGGATTATTAAATGTTGGAACACTATCGCCAATAATATGCAATTGGGGGACGTTAAAAACTATGGCTCACTCGTTGATGAAATAAGTAAAGGGAGTTCCTTGTGTACTAAAAAAAAGTTAATTATATTCGCAACGTCGAAAATTGATCAAACAGAATTTTATTCATTCCGAAATCAAAAAGATGTATGTTGTAAATAGGCTTTTTACGCTGTATCTCTGTAGTATATTTTGTTTTTTTTTAATAAAATGTATCAAGTGATGAAAACATGAAATACAAAACGTAGCCATTCGTTATGCCCAACCCGTTACATAATTAAAAATGACTATATATAGTCGTTGTTAATTTGAAAAAACCTCGTATCGTCAAAAAAACTTTTCAGAAGAGATATAGCGAGGTACTGCGATTTGCACTTTCATAATTATTATGACTTTGAGCCATGTCCTTGTTAAAAGTGAGGTTTTTGTGCAATAAGAGACGATTCTTCGTCTAAAAAAACTCGTACCTTGCTGAAAAAAGTCGGTTTTTCTTACAGTAGTTGTTCAGTGACAGACTTCAAAAAAAACATTCACACTATCTCTGAAGATATTGTTTAAGTAATGGCCAGCATCTCTTTAGAATTCTGGATCCGCCACTATTTCTGTTCATCCATAAAATGTCGAGTAGAAGTGTAAAAGTCTAAGGATTTCAATAATCTCTAAAGAACGAGAGACGGTTTGGGACGATTTTGGCCCAATTAAAAAGTAAAGGTACTTTCTCATGAAACTTTCACCAATTGTAGAGCTCGAAGTTACTAGTTACTCCTATAAGTTTCAGTTTCGTCGATCAAACTTTTCCCTTGCTTTCGTAACCAACCAAATATGCTCTACTGGGACCTATAAGGGGCAAAGTATACTTTATTTTCGAAATACTATTTCAATGATTTGATAAGTTGTGTTAAGCATCATTTGATAGAGAATTTAATTCTGCAGAAAACTATATAAATACCTTTACATAAAGCTGAAAAACTGTTTACAAAAAGTTTCGAATACTACCAGCCGCTATCCACACATAGGCTATACCCCAATATTGTATATTTTCCATCTCCACCCTAAGATTCAGAACCGAAGCCATTTTTTCAGCATCAATATCAATCATCAAGAGCTACAAAATGGCTAAGATAAATGCGTGCAAAAAACCTGTCTTCTGTCTATTGTCTAGTACATACCGAACCAAATATGAACAAAACTATCTAATAGTGGACCTCATGTGCCTTCGATCTCAACTATTCAATTCAGAACCGGAGCCAATTTTTCAGCACGAGTAGCAATTAGGGGTGACCCTTTATCTTTACTTTCCTTTATAATAAAGGAAAAAGATAAATGAATTCTTTACTCTTAAAAAATAAAGATAAATGGATCCTTTATTTTTAAAAATAAAGATAAATGATCATTTATTTTTAAAAAATAAAGTTAAATAAATAAAGAAATACTTTATTTTTAAAAAATAAATGTAAATGAATCGTTTATTTTTAAAAAATAAATGGAAAATAAAGGAATAAATGATACTTTTTACGATGACAGATAATGTAATTGAAAGAGCACTAGAATCATGAAATAAAACACATAAGCTGTAATGAACATAATTTTTTGTATGATTTAATTCCAAGTGTATCGACATATAAAAAGCTTCTTTTGGCAGGTACTATTTGCTATTGATATATTTATTTTGGCAAGCACTATTCGCTATTGATATATTTATTTTGGCACGCACTATTTGCCATTAATACATTTATTTCGGCAGGCACTATTTGCCATTGATATATTTATTCTCTATAGTATATCGCAATGCAAATTTAACATGATAATTGGGATAGAAGGTAGACTAGTTTAATAATAGTAAAAAGTCACTTTTTACTTCCAAAAGTTTTCATACAAACTTCAAATTCAAATACAGTTCTCTAAAACTATTTAGGAAAAAGCTGAATCTATATTCACGAATCAAAGAAAAGCCAAGGTACATTGTGGAAATCGAATCGTTTCCAAAGAGCACTATCTGTAGAGCAACTTGTTTACTTTACAGTAGGTAGGGCACGATGCATATGTTAATTCTCTATATCCGTATTTAGTTGAAGATTTTTTTATGAAAGAAAGTATTAGATCATTAGGAGAAGCTCACGAAAGATAATTTTTAAAGAATCTCAATTCTATCAGTATGGTCTGAATGATTGAAGACTTTAGTTAAGAAAAGAAACTCTTCAACCAAATACAGATAAAAGGAGTTGACCTTGCATCCTTTCCTACCTACTGACAAAACAGGCAAGTTGGTCAATATAAAACTGATCTATGAAAACGATTCGATTGTTGAATCTTAATTTGTGTTGTCTAATATTCGTATGTATGGACTCGAGTTTTCTTAAAGGATTTTCGAAAAAAAACGTAAATAGCGCGCATATTGAAAAAATAGTGAAGAAATGCGTTTGAAAAATTAACTATTGTTCATTCTCTTTCCAAGGACCTTTAATGAGAACTAAACAAAGTACCTGAAGTGAGACTGTCTCGATGTATGCGTGAGAGAGACGAAGAGAGAAAGAAAAAAAATAGTAAACAACTATCATAAATCTTATGAATACTTGTATGGTAGAATTTCTCATAGAAAGAGCAGTAATATTAGTTTATATGCGATCCATTGCAATCCTGAAAGTAAATGGCGATAAAATTAAAAAAAAATATGCCATAATTCCAAAAAATTTTTGTTTCCCCTTCACAGAAAGCCACATAATAAATACTATGATAACCGTTTCAACTTGTTTATTTCAGTTTCATTGTGGATTATTCTCATCAAATTATATAGAGAAATGTTTAACCAGATACCCTAATTTTTTAGCTAGTGCATGAGTTACTTTCCCTTGATTACCTTTAGTTTGGATTAGATATTTTTTCACAGTTTAAGAACAAAATTTCAATAAATTATATGACGAAACAACGAAATAGAAACCCGATGGGTATATAATAAGTATGTGGATGGGTTAGAGTGTGTAAGTGTGCATTTGAACCCGATAGTAGGAAATCATCGCACTTATATTCCACACTCTATCCACATCCTTACTTTTTCGTATGTTCTACAAAATATTTCTTTTTTCTTCGTATATTTATTCAAGATCTTTGCTTTTAATATGTAGACTATCATAATCACTAGTAAGTTACTGATATTTTTAGTTCAACTAACCAACAGGAATTTCTCATACAACAGTCAATAATTGGAATTTTTGTAATGCAATCAACGGAAAGTATATCCTCAAAAATTAAGCTGTGAAAAGCATTTATTAGCTTGCTGTTAAAATAAGAAATCATATACTTTTTTTGCAACATTGATTAATGATTATGAGTGAGTCTCGAT